GGAAATGGTAATTTGTGGATTAGACATGAAAAATTACAGTCTTCTCATGTTTGTTTCTATTTTAAACTCTTGATTTTCAGATTTTGTATACTGCATTTTAAGGCTACACAATATTTGTTTTCAATCACTGAATTGCATTTAAGACTATATATATTGTGAATGATAAGAATCTATTTTAGATGAACAGCAGTGTCTTCACGTGCTCAATTTTGGTTTACTTCATAAGTTTCTTTAACTCTATATAGACATTGATGGAGCTTATTTTGGAACTACATTTTCTCACCTCTTCCTGATGACATATGGTCACCATAAGCCACAAAAAGCGGTTCAGAGCTACGTTCCAAGAGTTTTCGGGTTCAAGATCCACAAGCCATGAAGCTGAAACTTAAAAGCATTCACTTGGGGTGAGTTCTATGCAGTCTTTATTTGCTGAAATTTCTCTGGGAAAGACATGCTTTTGAGAATTAGTTTAGCAGATGCTTCCTTTGAGAATTAATTAATAACGAAGAAGATTCCTCCCTTTATCCGCCTCGCAATGTTAGGATGAGGCATTCATCTACAACCCCTTGTGAATGGAGGTGCCAATTCTCATGATGGCTCGTATTTGGTGAGCTTCTTTTGAATTCACGCCTCCCCCTAAAAAAAAAAAAAAGAAAAAAAAAAAGGAAAAAATGAACTCTTTTTTAGGTTAAGTGTGGAGATTGCTGTCTTGTTTAATCTGTTTATTCATCTAACAGTTTCATTAATGACAATTCAAATATAGCTTGTCACCATGCCTGCCTTGCATGTCTTTATAGTCCCAAGGTTATTATTATTCCTTGCAAAGTAATGATGGGGTGACTGAATTAGTCATGTCGTTTTCATATTTGTTGAATGCTCTATTCTCAGTCTTTGCTTAGTTCTAAAGATTCCACTTCCTTGGAAAGTGCTGTGTTGTTCATATGAGATTTTTAGCATAGACCATTGATTATGCCCATTTCCATCCAAATTCTTCGATGTTCAATTGTGCTAGAAGATCATCATTTTATTGACTTCTTCAGGTCTATTTTGCTTAGAATTTTCACTCTAAAAAATGGTAACACAATGAAAACGAATGAACACTAGAGGAGTAGGAGAGTACGCTAGGATGCACAATTTGTCCATATCAAAGAAATGGGATAAGCACAACACCTTCCAATCTGTATCGAAATCACATTCTCAGCTTTAATTTCGACCCTTTCCCTACCTGAAGGATCAAAGTACAACCAATTCGGCATATCCCATGCACATACATTCTATATATATATATTATTAACTTTCAAACATTTGAATATAAAATGAACTTTAAAATGATATATTAAAAATTTTATAACTTTTAATGTTGTATTTCTTAATTTCTCAAGAACTTCCACTATTGTACATTTCATATATTTTAAATGTTTAAAAATTAACGAATCTATTAAAGAAAACCAATATTTAAGCTTACAATTTTGCACTTGATAGGTTGTTTAAATGCAAAATTGTAAGTTTAAGAATTTATCAAAACATTACAACTATTAGATACAAAATTAAATATTCTTTTTGACATTCTAAATTAAACACATATGAGTTTAAATGCCTATAGACTAAACCTATAACTTCAAAATCATAATCATGAATTTAAAAAAATAATTTTAATGTGGACAGTAACATTAGCTCTAGAAATCTGAAAAAAGTTACGTAAAGAAAAGCGAACAAGTCATTTGATCAAGCCACCAGATACGTTACTCGAGTAAAACTCAATTGACGATCAAAAGAATCTATTACAAGAAATTGGTCAATATAAGAAATAAAGAAAAGGATCAGTTTCAATTAACTTAAAATAACCAATTCCTACAACATGGATATGAAGATAAGTCTAGGGAGGGAACATTCTTTTTCCTTTTAGAAAAAAAAAAAAAAAAAGAAAAAGATCAAATACGCAGTGAAGATGGCTTAGCTTTCAGTTTGCTCTCTCAGCCTCCTAATAGTGCTCCTCACTGTCACAGCACTAGCAGTGCTGTCGAAGGTACCAAAAATAACATCAAAATCAAATACATTTAAACAACAAAAACTGAAAAGGAAAAAAAAAAAAAAGAACAAACAAGAACAAAAAGAAGTAAGATCCTTACTTAAGAGTGTAGGCCCCTCCGGCCTTCACTTTACCACAATCTTTGCAGCCCCAAATTCCAACTGCCTTCCTCTTAACTGCATACTGCAATGGGGAAGCATATAATTGGAACATGAAGACTAAGTGACTTGGAAATCAAAAACTTGGGCAAAAAAGGAGCACAACTACTTGCCTTTCCACAGAACTCACAAAAGTATTTGCTGTGCTGACTGACTTCCATCTTCTTAATCTGCTTTCTCAGACTGGCACCGTATCGGGTACCTGTCATCGGCCAATGTTAAGAGAAGAAGAAAATAGAAAACGAAAATCCTCCATGCAAAGAGGTGAGCCAGATATTATATACAACGAGGTCTGCAGTTGTAACAACTCAAACCCACCGCCAGCAGATAATGTCCGCTTTGGTTCGTTACGTATCGCCATCAAACTCACGATTTTAAAACACGTCTACTAGGGAGAAGTTTTTACACCCTTATAAGGAATGTTTCATTCCCTACTACAACCGATATGGGATCTCACAGCAGTTATAATCGTGATCACATGCAGAGATATATTCATAAATCAAGCAATAAGGTTTGTTGATGATATTGATGTATATTGTCCCACATTACACACAACATTTTAAGTGTTTTTTAAACCCAAGACACACTGGTGCGGGCTTATGCATAAAGTGCAAAAAAAGACACGGGCTTTATTTGGCAAAGCACACGATATATAAAAGAACATAAAATATAAAGATACATACATATATATACACACTAAGAAACATTCATGGTAAGAAATGGGATTTTAACACAAAAACATATAAAGATGAACACGTGAAGAAGAAGTAAGATAGATCGAAGGGAAATCAATTTTTTTCATTAAAAAATAAATAAATGCAGAAATTATTGAATTTAGGGATAAAATACAAAATATCATTATTACTTTTACAATAATAATCCTTAAGCTGCACTTACAGTTAAAAGGTTAAAAGAAATTAAAGAATCACTGGAGGCGTGAGCGCCTCTATTCTTCTTGGAAGGCATGTGCCTTGGCCACGCCTTCCGAGAGGCGAGGCGCTCCAGCAGGACCTTGTGCCCAGGAGCGCACCTCCCACAACTTTAAGAAAAACACTGAATCTAACTACGAAAACCATAAATTAACAGTGCCATTTTATACTTGATCAATTCCCAGATAAGGAAATTCTTTAAAAGGTTTGACGTCTAAATAAGAAAATTCTCTCTCTTTGATCTTACTAGTTACAGAAACTTATTACTAAATCTTTAAAGGTCGTCCATGACTTCTCTAAGATGAAAATCAGGTAAAAATACTGCATGGCTCAGACAGGATGCTAGGATAGTTTTCCTACGAATCAAGCAACTCATTGGAAATTCTTTGGATGAAACATAGAACCAAGGGCAGAATCAGAAGTAAGATAATTGAATACGATAATACAAAAACAAGCATTCTCAAAGAAAAATAGTTATGTACGCTCAAGCTAATAAATTATAAATTATAAATCATAAATCATAAATCGAAATTATTAAATATTTACCATATTTTCCAACAATGCCTGCCTTCTTGGTTCTCTTTGTCTGTGTAAAAAACAAAGACATCAGTTTAAAACTTTTCACTTCGAATGAAATATTCAATTCTCACAAAAGAAAGTTAAGCATTTCATTTTCAATACATAATTCGGATCTCGAAGTATCAAGAAATGCGTAAAGGTGTATATGAATAGCGTAACAAAGCACGAAGAAAAATCTAAAAAACAAAGCAAGCAGCACAGTTCCTACTGAAATCATGGCAGTTTCCATAGAACCATATCAACTACTCCCAAACTTTGGATTCAAGCTAATTGCATTGAAAAACTCTAAATTCCTTCATGGAGCATCATTCATGAAATCCATCGGATAGTCGTAACAATTAACATGCTAACAGATAATAACAACCCATTGGAGTTCAGCACGGTGGTGAAAGATAAAATCAAACCAAAATACGCATTCTCTTTTCGAAGGGAGAGAAATTACCATTTCTGCTCGGCCAACCACAATATCTCCGGGAGAATATTTGGTGAAAGTGGGAAGAACTTGAACCAGAGAGAAACCCTAGAATACAATTTTGTTCCTTTACAAGAATAAGAATCGAAAAGACCGGGTCCAATGGGTTTAAAAGCTAGTTAACTAATTATATTATTAATAAAATATTGAATTTCCTCAAACGTTCGTTGCAGTATAGTTGGTTAGGATACTTATTTTTCACCCGAAAGATTCGGGCTCAAACCCTGGCAGCGTTAAATAAAAATTTTGTTTCGATTTCAAAATTTTATATCTATCATTCAGGTGAGTTTTAGTTTTCAACCTCAGCAATTAATTGAGCATAATAGTATTAAAAAAAACATTCATACATGCGTATGCTCACTTGAAGAGCAAAACATTGTGTTCATATTAAAGTTACAAAACTTTCTCTAGAATTTTTCGGTGTGTGCTTGGGGTAGATGGCTTTAGATTTGATCCATTGAGTTCGAACTTTAACTCTGGTAATCTTGGGCTTAACCTTTTGGAGTCGGGATCCCGATTAATTTGTCATTAGATAGCTTTTCTTTAGATCATTTAAATTTGAGCTAAAATACCAATAAAATCTAATTTGATAAAGTCAAAATCAAATGATCGTAATAGAGACACGTGACACTATTTCTCTTAACTTTTTAAAAAAAAAAAAAAAAAAAAAACTTATCGTCAATATATGAACGAAACCGTCTATTCGCATCTCATAGATTATCTCTAAATTATTTAATATTACTTTTAAAAATTTATTAGTATTTTTTAAATATAGTAAGTGAGTTTTTGAATTTTTTAAATGACCCCAATTTCATTGTGGTAGCAGCTTTAAACTAAACTTGTATGTATATTGATGTTCTAACAAAAAGGGTTTCCAATATTTTGTAGCTTCTTTTGGGTTAGCTATCCAAATGAAACTATAGCTCCTATATACCTCTACATTTTGAGCAGTGTGAACAACCAATTTACACAATATTTGAATGCCTGCTTCAAAAGAATTAAGCACTCCAAAAAAGACATGTCAAAAAGTGGCATTTACCTCCATTAAATATGAAATGCACGTTACCGATTCCTTACCGCGGTACTGGTGCATCGTCGCAATGCCACAAAAATCTGCAATACAACACACGGACGACACATTTTCAGAACATCAATATACGAAGATTCAAGCTTCTAACCTCTTAGTTGAGAGTACATATTTTGTAATAGACATGTTTCTTTTACGGAATGTTTTTAACTAAATCTTCCACAACGGCGAGTTTTGAGTTTCTTCGCCAAATATGAACAAAAGGGCAGAAAGGGATCTAAGCATGTTTCATAAAAGTATCTAGTTTGACTTTGCTCAATGCTAGCTCCCAATAATAATAACTTACTCCAGGGAGGTTGAAAGAAAATGTTAGTAGGGACTCCAAGTCTTGAGGGCTTTACATTTCCTCTTGACAGACATCTTACCTCTGTCCGCAACACCTACGCCACTACATGTCGAAAATAACGGCCCGAGACAGTTTGGAGGAAATTTGTGTTGAACAACTCTTTTATAGGAAACACTCGCACTTCTATTAAAACCAATCAAAAAGATATCACAAGACACACCGTAGAATACAACTACTATTTCTTTTGCTTGGATTGCTTGCGTTGAAAAACTTAATAGGGTGGTGGAGTATTTATAGTAGAAGTTAGACAATTTATTCCTAAAATACCTAAATCCTTTTTCTAAAATATATAGAAAACCGGCTCATACAATTATGAAGATCTTTTAACAATTTTTGTTGGTGATTATCGGATGCTAAGCTAGCCGGTGGTTAATATTTGGCAGCCGAGACAGAAATCTTAGCTCCATGAACTTGGGAGATTGCCTTTTACATACCCAATAGTTAATGTCCTTGAAGCTAGCTTAAAACTAAAAACTAGTAACTACAATCATTTATTTCTTAAATCTAAACAGCTCAAATGTCAAAACTAATAAGTAAGCAAATTTCTAAAGAATCGAGACATACATACCAGTTCTCATTCATGCTGGACTCCTTTGACTGGTAAATCTTTTGGAATATATTCTTAAAGCCTTCCATGTTGGAGTACTGCTTCCAAAACTCTGTCACCCAGATCTGTGGATGATACTTTTACTTCATTGCAGCTCTTTTCAGGACAGAAAACCAACTCGGACAATCGATCTTTTTTCACTTGTCGGCTGTACTTCTCTTCTTCCCTTGTCCCAGAAGTAATGAGATGATAGACATAAACAACTCTTTTCTGCCCCAGTCTATATGCACGGCATATGGCTTGCCTTTCCACTGAGGGATTCCATACAACATCAAGTAAAACCACCCTTGAAGCACCAACAAGGTTTATACCTTCTGAGCAAGCCCTTGTAGATGCAAGCAATACTCGAACTTCACTCGTTGGGTCGTTAAATGTATTTATCAATGCCTGTCGTTTCTTTATCTCGCGTTTTCCATCCATATGAAACAACTCTACCCCTTGAGTCCATTTAAACCGAAACTTAAGATGGTCTTTTATGAAGGACAATGGTTCTATGTATTGGCTGAAAACCAAGACTTTTTCGTTCAAAGATTCACTTAGACGTATAATTTCGAGGAGAAGCTTTACTTTCACTCCTAGTTCAGGATTCAATCTAACCCTCTCTAACATAGCCTTGTCAACTCCACAATATTCTTTATCACACTTCAGTATCAGGGAAGGGTGTACGGAGATCAAGGACTCAGCATATTCCACTTCAAAAGAATTCTTCCTTGCTTGAATGCTCTCAAGAAAACTCTTCTGCAGCTCTGCGGGCTGTAATATAAGTATAGACTTCCTCATCCCTGGAAGTTTCTCTTGTAATATGTTGCCCCTGTATACATGCACGAATGGATTGATCATGGCTCTGATTTGTTTCAATTCAGCACTTTCCAGTAAGTCTTCAGAAGTTCTTCCAATGGAACTAATCAAAAGGTCCCATTTCCTTTTGAGACATTTTTTGAGCATCCACGCTTCTTATCTAGGCATTCATCTCCTCCAGAATTACTTATATGTCTTCAAAATTTGGCCTCACCAACCTTAGTGTATTGTAAAATTCAGTAAAATTATTCTGGAATGGAGTTCCAGAGAGGATGATGCGCCTTTCCGTTTTAATTTTAGACAAGGCCATCCAAATAAGACTATCGTCGTTGCATGGTATGTGGCCTTCATCAAAGATCACAAGATCCGGAATCTCGAGAAGAACCTTCCTTACTTTGTCACATTTAGAAATCTTTCGAACTCCGGCCAGTCTCTCGAACAATCTGTAACTAACTCCCAAGATGCTTTTCTCCTTTTTCCAGGAAAACAGTTTTACAAGCCGTACATTGTCCACACTTTGTCCTGATGGTGAAGCTTGAATCAAGAACTCGAGAGCTGAAATATTCTCCTCGAAAGAGACATCTCGCTTATTCAAGTTATGAAAGGGAATGCCAACCTTCCATTTCAAAAACTCCTCTTCCCAGGTAAGGAGCATGCTGCTAGGTGCAATGATCATAGGCCGGCATGTTGGATTTAATTCCATGTATGTCTGAAGGAAAACAATTGTTAGACGAGTTTTTCCTGTTCCAGGAGCATGTGATACAATGCATCCATTCCCATGGTTTAAGCTCTTTCTTTCTTTTAACTCATCAAGATCAATTCCTCCGGCTATATTTTTCCAAATGAATTCAAAGCCTTCAAGCTGATGTGGGTACATGCTGTTCTTTATACCGGGAATGATATCCCAGACTGTGCGTCCAACATGCGATCGTGAATCAGATCTGTCATGGGGGTCACAATCAAAATCTTGTGGAAGGTCATCAAATTTAACATGCTCAAATGAGCCAGATTCCCTCTTTTGTGACTTTCCATATGGATTTGTATCCTGGAAGAGAACAATATGCTTAACTACAGTAATGAGAAGCCAACAAGCACATACAAACGAGAGAGCAGTATATTATCTCACAACCATGAATGAACTTTTCTTAAAAAAAAAACTAAACAGATTAAGTAGGAACAAAAGATGTATCAATAGAAATGCAAATTATTTTTCTAATGTGATGAATGCAAGAAGTTTCAAACAAACACATCTATGATGTCATTTGACCAGGCAAAATCAGATACAACGCTTATCAACATCAAGAAATGAAAAATTGCTGATGCTTACTTCTCAGAAGAACTGCGTACATAATAAATAAACAGGGAGGTAGATAACTCACAAAAGAAGGTACAATATCTTTGATTTCCAATTTAACATATGAACAATATTTGCATCTAAATCCAATTTGTTCATCGAGTATGAGCTGATGATCACCGCGAAGACACAGATCCACTCGCTCAAGCGTTGAAGGAAAGGCATCTTTGTGTTCAACCTGCAAATCAATATGGATCACTAACTTCACAATCTTTAATTGATGCATGGTGGATAGATACAACCATTTGCAAAGACAATTGGAGAATGACAGTATTCGTATAAAAGCTCCAATCTTTCGCTGATTGGACAATACTTCCGGCTTCTACGCAGTAACTTCCATTACTCTTCCCATTTTCTGAACTAGAGGACTTCGAACTCGACTCCTCCGATCCTTCTAATTCATAATTCCTTTCGTGGGAGCCATCATACTCTTCACTTGATGGTGATGCTCCCCATCCAGTGGACTCACCTATAGTGTCATCAGAACAACTTGCAGGCTCAGTCGTGTTCGAGCAACCACAACTCTCGCAACGATTAGAGTTCAAGCAACTACTTCCCCCCATGCTTTTATTGGGAGATATCACTAATGCACCCTTTCCCTTGCCAGATGAAATCAAGCGACTACTACCATCTTCATTATCCAAATCAAGGCAAACAAAACTCCCATCCGTCAAAGAGGCAGTCCATTTCGAAATCGAACAGTTAGAATTTACAGAATCAAAACCCTCCTTCTCATTTATCAAAATCATCCCATCGTCTAGCTCGATTAAACCAACAATCCCCTTTTCAGTCCCCTTCGTGCTGAAGTCTTTCGCATTCTTCAGCCCCGAACTCTCAGAACCTACAAATGTGACCGATTCCCCAACTTCTATACCAAATGTAACAGAATCAATCTCCTCTACACTCGCCTTCTCACTATCAACGATCGAAATAACAGGCTCCACCTCCATTCTACGATTAACGCAAAAATTTTCAGAATCATTAACACTCTTACCTCTATCACCAAATCCTTCGCTGGAAACCAGACGTCGAACGTTGTCACTGGCGGAATACACCCTGTTCTTCTTCTTCTTCTTCTTCCTCTGCTCCAAATGCTCCTCTCCAGCCATTGCTCGCCTCGGCCTCGTTCTCTTCGACACCGGCAAACTGTAGCCCACCATCATCGAACGTCAAAAATAAACCCAAGAATCACACACAGAGTTAGACAGAAAATGAATGTGTATGGGGTGAAACAGGGCGCATGCGAGGGAAATTGCAAGAAAATCATTGGTAATGATCATCATTTTGGTTTGAAAACTTCATCATTGTGATTTTAAATTACATTTAAACTGTAACAACCTCTTTTTCAGGGACTCCAGCCACGTACCGTTATTGGCTAATCGTGAAGTAATAAATGCCTAAAATGTAAAATATTTATATAGATGGTGGAAAGATATGAAGTACAGGATTTAAAGATAAATACACAAGAAACACCTCACTCAAGTGTGATGAGACTCTCCTTGAAAGGAAGAAATTGATACTAATAATGGAATTAGGGGGAGAAAAGGAAAAAAATTCCGTTGCCGGGACTTGAACCCGGGTCTCTCGGGTGAGAGCCGAGTATCCTAACCAACTAGACTACAACGGATGTTTATTTTTTAGATTTAATATCATAATGATAATACAAATATTTGTCCCGCTTTTAAACCCGTTCGCCCCGGCCTTTTGGATTCTTATTCTTGTAAAGGAACAAAATTGCATTCTAGGGTTTCATATAAAACTATTTTTTAGTTTTTTTTTTTAAAAGTTTGACTGTATTATTGGAACATTAGAAAGTTTACGGGTATTTTTGATATAAAGTATAAAATTCAGAGAGTATTTTTATTAATTTAGCCATTATTGAATTTTAGGACATTTTTTATACATTTAATGTGAAAAAGTAATTAAACATATATATTTTGAATAAAAGTTAGATGTTGAAATAATATGTATTGAATTTGAAAATGGCATGTCTACCCTTGGATACTTATTTGGAGTGTAGATCTTAATTTTGAGAGAGTTATGAATGATCTTCTGCTTGTGCGGACTTCTTCTTGTTCTTCACTAACTTACTCTTCTATTGCCAACTTTTCTAAAGAAAATAGTAACAGCAGCACAGCTCTACGAAATCAAAATCGAATCTTTCTATCTGTCGAATTCTCTGTAATGGTCGACACAGTATTTCTTTACTTTATTTTATTTTTTTCTTAAACAAGAATGATTATAATTATCCGAAATATTAAAAATAAGAATATTTGTTACTTCTATGAACTAAAAATGATATCAAAACCTAAGAGTTAATGATGCAAAATGACAAGATTGTCTATTGAAGAGGAGAAGGTAGGATCTATATTATATTGCCTTTGGGTAACGGCAGAGGAATATCGTGTTGATGATTGTTGGGAGTGAGTCCCACATTGGCTATAGGGAATGATCATGAGTTTATAAGTAAAGGAATACATCTTCATTGGTTGAGATTTTTGTGAGAACCCCAAAGCAAAGTCATGAGAGCTTATGCTCAAAATGGACAATATTTATGGAGATTCATGTGTGTTAGAAACACATTGTTGATCACGAAAATTCCCAGTGGGTACGTACTTGTTGTGAACAGTAGTAAGTTTATCTAGGGCAAGATAGTCATTGACGAATGAGAGTCAAATCTTAGATGTCTAACGGGTAGAAGCCTATGCCTAATTGCTTTATCTAGGGCAAGATAGTCATTGACGAATGAGAGTCAAATCTTAGATGTCTAACGGGTAGAAGCCTAGTCATTGACGAATGAGAGTCAAATCTTAGATGTCTAACGGGTAGAAGCCTAGTGGTCGTTCATCCCCATTCTAGGAAGACGCTTACAAAATAGGGCTAAATCAAGTTTTTGGCAACACTTTTAAGTAAAAAAAAAAAAAGAGAAAGAGTCATGGATAACACGGCTTGGCAGGATAAGGGTCAACAATGACTCAAGTTTTATTATGAAATACCAATTTCTTAATTCAAAAGTATTTAATTTAGTCTCTTTTCTTTTATTATTTTTTATTTATTTTGCTTTATTGTAGTTTAAATGTTTCACCTAACATCTTTTGACTATTATTTTTTTTTTTTTTTTCTTCCTCTACTTTTCTAAGTTTCTCATAGGAGTTAAGATTGGAAGAATAATATTTTGTTATAAATTAATAAAGAGTAAAATGACACGACTCAAGTGACCTTTTTAGTCGGAACTAGGGTGTATATGAGTCGGGTTGAGGAAATTTTTTTAGACCAATCTAGTTGGATTGGTAACCAAACCTAATCTAAACATTTTCACAATACAACCTTCTATTTTCGAGTGAGTTGTCAAATAGTTTAAAAAAAATTAAATTTCTTAAAAAACTTGTATTTATAAGTAATTCATAATTATTGAATATAATTATTAAAACTTCACAAACAAATATAAATTAATGTATAATCATTTAAATAAACAAAATATTGATCTATAAGAAGCGAAAATTGTAACATGCTAACATACTTTTGTTGGATGATGAAAGTCTCACATCGGCTAATTTAGGGAATGATCATGGGTTTATAAGTGAGGAATGCTAACTCCAAAGACCTTTTGGGAAGCCTAAAGCAAAGCCATGAGAGCTTATGCTCAAAGTGAACAATATCATACCATTGTGGAGAATCGTGTTCATCTAACAACTTCAACTTTCACTACTAAAAACAACTAAACACTAATACTTCCTGGGCAATTCCTTACTTGAATAGATCCTGAAATAAACTATTTTAATAATTTATTAAATACCAAAATAATAATTTAAAAAAAATAATAAATTTAGGAGGAATCATAATTAATCCTATAATAATAACTTAATTGGTTAGTTGTAATAGTTTTTTTTTTAAACCATTTAGTTTTATATTTAAATTTATAATATTTAGTTTATATTAGTTAAAATTTAATAAGACTTTTAATGTACATAGAAAAATAATTTAAATATTGACAAAAATGTATTTATAGAATACAAAATAATTAAAACTTTTATGGCAAAGATTAATTTGTTATACATTATATATAATTATATATTAAATTTTAGAGACTTAATTTATAAAAATTTAGAGTATAAATTGTTCAAAATTAAAAAAAAAAAAAATTGGTAGTTAATAGTTTTTTAAAAGGAAAATCATAGTAAAAGGGACGCATGTGAAGACGACCGCTTTCCGTTGAAGTAAGCCGAAGGATTCCTCTTTAAACCGCCCGCCATGCCTCGCTTGCTTCGTGCAGTTGGCAGCTCGAATTCATGGAAGCTAGATCAAATTCTTGAAAGGTCTTCTTCTTCTTCTTCCTCTCTTCCTTAAATTTGCGTCCAAACTTTTGATTTTGTTCCATCGCTATTTCCATTTAATGGATCAATCTGTTCTTCCCGTTTGTGCACGGCATCGCCTTATTTGATCAAACTGTATGTGGTGGGCGCAAAGTTGTTTTCCACTTTAATCTCCTTAAGCTCTGTTGCTACGTGTATAGAATTTCTCTGCCTTATTCGACCGTTTATTTCGATTGTTTGTCGTGTTCTGATTTTTCTGTATGTACATTTCTTAGCATTCAAGTTTCTGGTTGGATTTTCTGATTTTGGATAGATTTCTTGGCTTAAATCTTTTTTTTTCCCTCTTCTTTTTGCTTCGGGATTGTTCATTCCGTTTCCGATTTGACTTTGTTGGTCTTTTGGAATTCTGGATTGTTGAGAGTTTGATATTTTTCTCGAGTTTCGGCATTTTCTCGGAGCTTTGAGTATGGGCTGTTTCTTCAATTTACATCGCAAAACGAAAATTAAGAGAGGAGCAGGATCGGCCAAGGAACTGAATCAAAGGAAAAAATCGGATGGTAAAACTACCAATCGCGGGATTGAAGCGTTGGAAACTTTGGCTACGCCCCGGAGCATACCTGAGTTGTACAAAGAGAAGGAGCATAATCTGAGAGCCTTCACTCTCGAAGAGCTTAAAATTGCGACAAATGGGTTCAGCAGGTCCCTTAGGATCGGAGAAGGTGGCTTTGGGAGTGTATATAAGGGGAAAATAAGGCTTGAAGGTGAACAGGGAGAGGAAGTCATAGTAGCCATTAAACGGCTTAATCCAAATAGCACACAGGTAACTGCTACTTCTTCGCTTTAGTTAGTCTGTAGTTGCTCAAGGAGAAAAGACAGGGCTGAAGATGATCAGTTAGGGTATTTTCCTATGTTTTAGTCACTCTTGATAACGTTATTTTCTTCTGTTGTTGAAGGGTCATAAACAATGGCTTGCAGAAGTTCAATTTCTTGGTGTTGTTAGTCATCCAAACCTTGTAAAACTTTTGGGATACTGTTCAGAAGATGGAGAAAGGGGGATCCAACGACTGTTAGTCTATGAATTCATGTCTAATGGAAGCTTAGAAGACCATCTCTTTAGCAGGAGTACTACTCTTTTGACTTGGAAAACTAGGCTACAGATTATCCTTGGTGCAGCTCAAGGATTGGCTTACCTACATGAAGGATTAGAAGTCAAGGTATAATCTTACTTCGATTAGTTTTCTTTAAGCATAACATCACTCTTTTGATGCATTTGAATCATAGCTACTATCTGAACTTTGCTTCCATCAAGGTTTTTGTAATAGGCCAAACCCACCACTATCCGCCCTCTTGGGGCCCAACGTCCTTGCTGACACATCGCCCGTGTCTGGCTTTGATACCATTTGTAACAGCCCAAACCCATCACTAGCCGTTGTCCTCTTTTGGCTTCCTTTTCTGGGCGTCCCCTCAAGGTTTTAAAACGCGCTTACTAGGAAGAGGTTTTCACACCCTTATAAGGAAGGTTTCGTTCCCCTCCCCAATCGATGTGAGATCTCACAATCCACCCCCCTTGGGGGCCAGCGTCCTTGTTGGCATACTGGTCGGTGACTGACTCTGATACCATTTGTAATAGCCCAAACCTATCGCTAGTAGATATTGTCCTCCTTGGACTTTCTTTTCTAGGCTTCTCCTCAAGGTTGTAAGACGTGTCTACTAGGGAGATGTTTCCACACCTTTATAAGGAATATTTTGTTTTCCTCTCTAACTGACGTGGGATCTCACGATTTTATGCTAAGTTGCATATTGATTTGCCTTTATTTCCAGTTGGATATGCCCTTTTGAGGTGCTAACTCACATTTGGTTTTGGAGAACTAATGTCAAGTTGTCTATGCTCTCTCACAGCGTTCGTTTTGGACTAATGTTTATTTATTGACTTGCTGTGTTGCACAATATTCGATTTTTCACCGGTAAATTGATACATTTTGCTTTCTCTAAATGAAAAGGTAATATATCGCGACTTCAAATCATCAAATGTGCTATTGGATGAAGAATTCTGTCCAAAACTTTCGGACTTTGGGCTTGCTAGAGAAGGGCCAACTGGTGATCGCACGCATGTGTCCACTGCAGTAAGTTCACGACTTATTGAGTTCATGTTGTTAGCCTTCTAGAAAAGCCATTTTTCTAAGCTTGCTGCAGTATGTGTATGTGGCCAGCTTTCAGTTTTCATATTTAAAAATGAAACCCCTATTTCACATCTCTAACAAAAGTTAAGAATAGTAGTATTCTATAGAACTAGATAGTGTATGATATGAAAATGTGCATCTCTCAATGTAGTTTTGAAGCTGCCCAATCCCAAACTGCCCAAGCACACCGTTAGCAGATATTGTCTTCTTTAGGCTTTCCTTTTCGGACTTCTTTTCAAGGTTTTTTTTTAAAACATGTCTATTAGGGTTAGCAGATATTGTCTTCTTTAGGCTTTCCCTTTCGGACTTCTTTTCAAGGTTTTTTTAAAACATGTCTATTAGGGAAAGGTTTCCACATCCTTATAAAAAATGTTTTGTTCCCCTCTCCAACCGATGTGGGATCTCACAATCCACCCTCCTTTGGGACCCAGCGTTTTCGCAGATACTCGTTTCTTTCTCCAATCAATGTGGGATTTCACAATCCGCCTCCCTTGGGGTCCAACACCCTCACTGGCACACCACTCGGTGTAATAGACCAAGCCCACTACTAGTAGGTATTGTCCTCTTTGGGCTTTCCGTCCATTTTTTTCTTTTTAAATGTGTCTGCTAGGGAGAGGTTTTTAGAATTCCCCCCTCCAACCGATGTGGGATCTCACAATTCACCCCTTTCAGGGTTCAGCGTCCTCGCTAGCACTCATTCCTCTGTCCAATCGATGGGAGATCTCACCGGTTTTAACTTGGGGATTTTGCTAATTTGTTTTCTAGAATTGGGAAAATTGAAACATGGCTGTTCTTTTTTCTTGTCAAGTTACTTCGTAGATTTATGAAAAGAAGCATCATTGGTGTAAATTGGGGGCTCTGTAAAGCCGATTTTTGCTGGTTGCACAATTACAGGTAGTTGGGACATATGGATATGCAGCACCGGAGTATGTTGTGACAGGACATCTAACAATGCAAAGTGACATATGGAGTTTTGGAGTAGTGTTGTATGAGATCCTCACGGGCAGGCGGGCTCTCGAAAGAAACATGCCAACGAGGGAGCAAAAGCTACTGGAGTGGGTCAAACAGTTTCCAGCTAACACTAAGAGTTTCAAGACAATAATAGATCTTCAACTTCAAAACCAGTATAACCTAGCAGCCGCTCGAAAAGTTGCGAGTTTAGCCGATCAGTGTCTCAACAAGACTGCAAGAGATCGACCAACAATGTCGAAAGTTGTTGAAATCTTGAAGCAAGCACTAGAAGAGTCCGAGGGGAGTGTTTAGATCTGAGGATTCCTGTTAATCATCTAGATGTTATATTACTCATCATATATATATATGCTCATCTCTTCCACATGCTCTTGACTACAAACATGATTGTTGATTCCCTACTCTAGTTGTTGGCTTGACTTTGATTGAGTAAGTTATCAACTCAAATTCAGATCACCTGTGGTACAAAGAATCTATTTCACAACCTCGGTCTAGGAAAAGGCTTACTGAACACGGTTGAAACAAGTATTTGGAAAACATTTTGAAAAATAAAATATTATACGAGCATCTAATAAAGGACAACAATAATGATAACATATAATCTGAGTAGAAAGATTTGACAACTAGTCATTTCACCGAAAGGACAAAGGAAATAAAATAAATGTATGAAAGTAGACATAATTTTTAGATGCTAAAATTACTAATTTTCTACCAATTTCTTTGAAGAAAATACTCCGAGTTAGGTGCAATTAACGAAGTCCTCTGTTAAAAAAGAGGATGCCTCGAGTAAGACTCGAGTAAGAAGGTACCTGCACCAAGGTTATGGGCAACTCAAATGGTCTCTATAGGGCATTTCGAAGAGATAGAAGCGAAGTCACCAATGTTCTCCTGACCTCTTTTTTAAAGGAGGTCGAGAGATTCAGTCAAATCAATATATCTGGGCCTAAACAATTCAAAGCCCAGAACCGGTCGAGCTTATCTGGGCCTAAACTACTCGAAGCCCAAGATCAATTGACGTAGCTTTCTCTGGGCCTAAAGGGTTAAAGCCCAAACCGATCGACCTCTATCTGGGCCTAAACTGGTGGAAGCCCAAAATGAAAGAACCTCTCTCTTTCTTCTCTCCCTCTCGGTGTCAATCGGTGGAGGAATTTCCTGAGAAATTGAAATGGAGAAATCCTTCACTCTGATTCAGACAATTGCGACCGCTGGAGCCTTCTCTGCGATTTCGTTCTGGTGCGATTTTACTTCTCTCTCTTCAACCTTGATGCCTCATTTCTTCTCTGGATCTCTTAGCTCAATTCGTCTTGCTTCATTTTTCTTAGGTATGGATTCATGTTTGGAAGAGAGTCCGCTCGAAAAGACTTGGGAGATTTGATTCAAGATCTACGCCGCGGAAGCTCCAACGATTCTTCTTCTGCAACTCCTCAGTAGGTAATAATTTTTATACGATGATGTAATTGACGTTCAAGAACTATTGATCGCCTGATTGTTACTGATCGATTCGATTGTGTTGGAGAAGTTCATTCTGGACTGAATGACAAAATTTAACTTATCGAACAAGGAGATTCGTAATTTTTGATTTGAGGCGTTTGTGAAATGTCGATTAACCTAGAAGCAATGTCGATATTAAGGCATTTGAAAGAAAAACGTGTTTCTCCATGTGTTTATACACAGATCATTTTGAAGTATGGCGGTGATGAAAGAGGCAGCGTTGCAACTTCGGGGCCATGCGGAGGGCATCGAGTGCTTGTCAAGTTAAGGATTTTCTGCCAAAAGCTTGGATCGAAGACTCGAAAATTTTCCTTCAATTTGGCGAAGTTTCTGTAGAAACGACTTCTTACAAATGCCTCAAAGTTCAGCCGGTCAATTGTTTTCTACGAGTTTCACGTATGGCATTACGTTTTCGAATGATATTCCTTTACTTTCTAGAAATTTTCCTTTGAAACTGGTAGATGTCTGGTCCATTGATTTGCCGATATCGATCATTCAATTCATCTCAAATATTTTTGGCACAACCAGTAGTGTAACAAGACTCGCGGCGATTTCCTTTGAAACGGAATTGATGATCCATGTCGTGATGATATCGTTGCGCTGCATTGCCAGGCGGAAGAAAGATTCCCCTTCAAAATATTGATAAGAATGTCTAACATCCCAATCGAAAGTTTAGAGTGCGTCTCATGAGTGATTTGAAATACAAAATTTTAAGACAAAATATTTTCAAAATTTCAAACATATTATTTAATTAAGTCTCAAAACCTAAAACATGTTCTATCAAACAAACTACAATATAACTGTCTTCGGATTTTTATGTTTATTATCCTTTCTGATCTTATTACTTTGAACTAGAACACTTTTTTTTTGTGTGTAACCTGTTAGATTGTTTTCATTTTGTTGTTTTCTACACGTTTTCATCAGTCATTTAGTAGCTTTGATAGGCACAATCAATGTCGTCCATCATTAATACGTATGTGTATGTTTAGACAGAACAGAGATAGAACTATGCATCATGCTATTTTATTACATACATTCCCCTTCCAAACAACAGATCTGCAATATTCTGCTTTAATGAATTACAGAAATTTTAAAGAACTACACATGATTTTATCCATAAAACCCATTGAAAATTTTAGTCAACTCCAGATCTTTTCAACAAGTTGTGACACTCTTTATTCTCATCATTTAACCCATCTCAGGGCAACAAATTTACAACTATTTACAGTAGGCACAAAAATTGATGACTAGTCACGTCCACCCTCTGGTACCTATAAACTTGAATTTTGTAGAACGAAAGTACAGTTTAATACATATGATGACTTTCTGCCTGACTGCAAAATACGTTGTTCATATAAATCTGTGTTGTGAAGCTGAATTATGCACATCAGTTCATATAACATCAGTGGTTTCCTGATGACGGCAACAGACTGGGAAGTTGATCTAGAACTCTCATCGGCTTCCAGTCGGATTCTTCCTTGCTTTGTCTGAGAGCGACGAAGTGAAGTGCATCGCTTTGCATTTGGTAGATATGACACGCCCAAGGGTATGCATCCGGTGCCGACCAAATCTTTTGTTCTTCAAATACTGTCTCCTCAGCAAGAGATTCCGCCACACAATACACAGTGTTAGGCCCTGGCTCTGCAAAATCGGCAACTGCCACACATCCTGGAGAGACGAAGCCTTCTGGAGCCCTTGGATGCCAGATTGATACAGGAGTTATGTAGTCATCCTGGCAGTTTCTCCACACCTGCAGAGGTTTCAAAGTCAAATCTTCAGCATTCAGGAGGAATCTTTGCACATCGTGTTGCGATGGATATAAGTTAAAGCATGTTCTTTAGTTGCACGTTAAATTCTAATGACCCCCGACACCTCAGACTCCTTCGCCCCCTAACTGGTATTGCTGCTCGTCCTCTTGTCTCAAGAAAAAAGAGTTTCAGCCACCTCCCCGCGTAAAAACAATCGAAGACAATGATTCAATCTTTATTCAATGGGACAAAAAAGGAGACTATTGGCACTACGATGTTCTTTAGTTGCACGCTAAATTCTAATGATTAGGACACTGAAAAAGGTTGACAAGTAGTAGTTTGGAATAAAATTTCTTACCAAATCATAACCCACTGGCGGAGCAAACATTCCCTCCATGTAACGGTAAATAGCAGCAACATTTGGAGGATGGCTGCCGAAATGGGCTATATCCCCAATGGAGACGTACCTGAAATGAAATAAATGTCTATTGTCTTAGTGTAGATAAAAGATGTTTACGTAAAAATAAAAATTTTGTTCATTAATTCGAGAATTGTCTATGGGAACATTGTTTGGTTGCCATGAACTCACGATATCATACTCATTACAAAGGGTATATTCTCAGACAAACATAAGTCAAATCCATGCTCATTGGATTGCTTTTGTTCAAAGATTTTACCCCTTCCAATGATATACAGACATAACAGCAGAGAAACACTTGGCCCGAAAGCTCGTTTTTCATCTGTGTGATCCGTGTTGCAAGTCTAAATTAGCTTGCTGTTTTTCTTATTTCTTTCCCGAGAATTACATGTCCCTTTTATAGGGAGAAAGACACTAATTTTAAATAGATAGATAATCTAAATTTACTAGATAGATACTATGTAATCTAAATAAATCTAAAATTATAAATAGATAGATAATCTAAATTTACTAGATAGATACTATGTAATCTAACTAAATCTAAAATTAACTCCGGTTTTTCTTACTGTTTTTCTGATTTCTTTTAAGAGAGTTACATATTAAATTAAAAGGAAGAAAGATGGATTAGTTCTAAAGGTAATCTAAATAAATCCCCAGATAATATTTTAGTAACGATAAATCTAAATAAATCTTTAGTTACTCCCTAACAATAAATCTAAATAATAATCCTTAGATATTATTTAACTAAATCTAAATAAATATTAATTATCAACTACGAGATTACACAAATATCTTTCGACACTCCACTTAAGCTTAGTAATAGATATCATTTATTTTCCGCTTGGATACTTACTCATGAATTATCTCCTATTTCTTTGACAAACCTAGACCTCTTATGAATAAAATAACCAATAAAGAAATACCGACAAAACACCTCCCACTAACTGACTGTCTAGAGGTTATTTCCCTTTTTACCCCTTCAATAAAATTTGCTTATAATGGGAGGCCTAACAGGAAAATAAAAATGAATAAATAAAGAAATAAAGAAATAAATAAATAAATAAATAAATGAAGGAAAATAAAAAAGTTGCACGTTGCAAGTTGTAACCTAAACAGACATAATGCAGAAGTATTATTTAATCGATATGGGCATTACCCGTCGGGACATATTGGTCTCCATATGGTACATATCCCTCCGGTCTCGAAGGCCTGGAAACATAAATTTAAGATGAAATCGGTAATTTCAAACTCATAAATTTAAAGTAGTTTAAATTGGTTAAAAATGATGAAAGAACACAAAGCACCTGCTTTTTGCACAATATGCAACGACCTTTTAACTCAAGGTCACTGCTCCAAATCTTCGTAAAGTTCATACTGCGTTTCACAAATCTTCCTTCATCATTTAAGGAACTGGATAACAAAAGCTCCCTCGATCTAATAATGGATTTGTTTAAATTATTTGCATCCCTCCCATCAGCTTCACTCGATGAAAAATAAACATGTCTCTGGCTTGAGGGAACCTAAAGCATTCAGATAGAATCTAAGCCAAAAAGTTCAATGCTCACAACAATGAAGTGGATAAAACCGATTATGCTGACCTTAAGGACAAGGCATTTCATGTCAGATTGATATTCTCTGCACAATTTACGAACCACTGAACAAATCCTGACAGCTTGAGGTTCTCTTCCTACAATTTCTTCATTATGACACTTTATAACACGAGCAAAATTTTCTGTCCTCTTGAAAGTTTTTAAATGGATGATTAAGTGAGAAGGGTGACTGTTAGCCACTTTTGCCAACTCCAGTGCCATGAGCTCCTCCCAAGGAACGTCCCATAAAATCTTGCAAGGTTTCTTATCCAATTTTCCAGGATCTGAGCACTAAATAGTAACATAGAAGGGGGCAAATATCAAGAATAGAAGAGATTATATTAAAACCAATAAAGGCAACAGAACAAGGGTATTTGCGAACCTGAAGCAGCATGACTCTCTTGTTCGTTACTAAAACAATTCTCTGGTAAGGTACAATGAAGTGTTCTTCATAATAATCAGAAAACGCAAATTTTGAAGGCTCCTTGAAGATTTCAGTACAACCAAAATGTGTACTTCCTTCTGCAAGATGAAGAACCATCTACCCACAGAAAGAAAAAGGATAAGACCATCACAGTTAAAAGAGGGCTTGAAATAAAGTTATAAATACAATTCACAATATTCATCATTAACCTTTCATGGATGTGACTTCCTATTTCACTAAATAAAGAAAATAAGTTAAAAGCATGAAGAATAACCAAGTCTTTGGAATCAGAGATACCATCTCCTTCATAAATCATGGTTTAGGCAGCTTTTTGACGCACATTAGCCTTTCATTCATACATTATGCTAGAAGTTTAGAAACTATTCTTAAATTTTGGATGAGCTTGGCTTAGGTTGTCTGAATAAAAGAAAGGTTCGGCCCCACCTAACCTATCCAAACAGTACACCAAATTGTTCACAGAAGGGCAATATTGTCTAAATACTCAGAGCAAAACGGTTGGGTAGATTACACTAGATACCCTAGCATAGCTCTGTCGTACATGATTGCGCAGAACAAACACACCATGACATTTTTTGGGCTCAATCAAACATGTACAGATACTTATAAATGATGTACTCATTGGTATTGAATTAGGCAGGACAGGCAAGGTAGGAATATTCATAATACCAAGATTATGATTTTATTAGGAAATCTAATAGTGGATTATAGAATATTCAATGCAAAAGGTAATAACTGGAAGGAATAAGAGTAATACTTGAATTTAATGTTATGATCAAATACAAAAATAAGTCAATTACTCTGCTTGCTTACGACATGTTACCCGAAAAGTGGAGATAAACAATAAAATGTTGAAAACTATCAGCATTGCACACATATAGCTAGGTACATATAGAAAGATACCTGTCCAAGAGCTTCTCGATCACAGTACTCTCTAAGAATACTGTCAGCATGAATGGCCCGAGGGTTTCTAACTCTTTGGGAAGAAACCTTCCTGCTGAAAACCTCTAAACACTTGGAACAACTTGCACCAATTCCATCAACAGTCAGTGAGAAAAAATCTAATGCTCCACTAACTGGTTGTACAATAAATCCAAGAAATGCACGTCCTAATCCATGAGCCAGACCAATTAAACCATTCTGTCTAGCACTTTCCACAGGCTTTGTTACCACGCCTGACACCCCAAAAGCAACACCCTGAGCAAGAGCTTCTGTGCCTTGGATTATTCCATCACGTACACCAGTGATTCTCCGTGACCATACCTGCCCCAATTATAAGTCAATCTTTCAACAAAGGCCTATTAATTGCAAATTATGAAATTAA